CCCACCCAAGAGGGTCAATTCTTGACCCTTTGTCCCACCTCGCAGGGGTGGCGCACCTGTCAAAAGTGATTTTGATGAATGCTAGGTAGTATTAGGTTTAGGACCTCGATACTTGGTGGAATGCTTACTCCCAACTAGTTCTACCTGTGTCACCCGCGTGAGCCAGAAGGTGAGGCTGAGGAGCCTGACGCTGAGGGAGGCCCGGAAAGAAAGAACTAGAAACCGGGCTTTCCGTCTCTGGAATAACCTACCTCCGGAGATTCGCACTGCACCCTCGCTGGGTACTTTAAAGAACCAACTAAAAACATGGATGTATAGGCAGGCCTTCCCTTCTAGTTAATTCCTGTCCTCTTTCCTTTTTCTCTCTCTTTATTTGATTTATTTTTATTTTTCCCATCTTATAGAATCATTTAATTAATTAATTGTTATACATTTTTTTAGAACTTGTTATCCTTATGTTGTAAGCCTCCTAGAGTGGTCGAAATGACTAGATAGGCGGGGTATAAATACAATAAATAAAATAAAATATTACTACTCCTGTTCCATATAGATCATCACAATTTCTGTAGTATGCAATGAATAGTCAATGTTCCACAGAAAAGTGGCAGAGGCATACAAAGAGTGATTTTTGTATCATGCAAATAATATGTTACCTCGTCAGCATACTTAGTGAGGAAAATGTCCACATAGTTGGACCTCTGAGTTAAAATGGGAAGGCATGCAAACTGGCTGAGCCATATGGGTCCATCCAGATTGCCAAGAGTGCCAGATGGAGCTATGGTATGCACTACATGATCTGAGTGAATCATGTGGTTCCCACTCATATACACTGGAGCTGCAACATGGAGCTAACCAACCACATCAAAGTAGGGTTTTGGCATCAGTTGTGAATTAAGCTTCAATGACTATTCTAGAGCTGTGGAACTCCATTTGAAGCGCCAAATACCTTCTACAAAATGGGCTATTGTTAACATAGACAATATAGCAATATTTTGGTTCACTTGCTTTTTCTTTTATGGTTTTCTGTTCTTCTTAAAAATTGGGTTACCCATCTTCAGAGTATTTTCAGTGGAAACAAACCAACAGTGCAGTAGACAACTGGCTTCAAGGTACAAGCAGTGCCAAGCCTGCAGGATATATATGTCTCATTCTTCTAGCTAGATGATCAGTCATGTGTTACTCCTTCCACAACATCTGACCTACATTTCCCCTTTTCTGAGCCCTGCAGCTGTTATCACCCATTTACAGTATGAAACTAAAAACATAAAGTGCCAGACACATGCTAACATCTACCAGTACGACATGTGGCGTGTATAGGGCCGTAGGAGCAGATGGCACTTGAGGAGGCAAAAGACAGGAGAGTTATTTTAAATTTAGTGGTTCATTCACAAGGTATAATAATAATAAGACCCTTTGAACTACAGAGCTGGAAGGGACCCTAAGGATCATCAAGTCCAGCCCCTGTCGGCTCTGCAGCCAAAGACCTAAACCACTGAGCTATCCAGCATGCTATTTGAAATATTACCCTCATAACATTATTAAATAGGAGATAAATTGACAGCCTCCATTGGCAGTAGCTACTCAGCTGCTAATCCTAAACAGAAATTTGCTGTCTTCAAAAACATATCTTTTAAAAATCTGGAGGAAACCCTAGAAATTATCTTTTATGTTATATCTGTACATACTTTCCATTTAAATGGAAGAGCGACAAATCAAAAGCTTGCAACAAGCAGATATACTCAGCTCTCTTTACCATCAGCTTCTTTAAAAATCTTGCTGAAACTCTTCTAGTTTTTTTTTTCTGTTGAGTATTTTTGTTTATTTGTTTAATAACAGAATAGTGGTAAACTGAAAACTTCTGTCCAAGAAGATCTTGCCGTCTGACCTCTGCCATTGATACAGAGCGAAACACATTTTTAAAAGGTGCTCTGGAGAAGCACAGAGAAGCAGGCCTTTTGTTACACTTTGTCACAGGTGAAACCAGTTCAGGCATTGCATCATCCGAATGACAGAAAAATACCAATATAATCAATACAAAAAATGGAGATGAAATGCTCTAACTAGATGAGCCCTTAGTTGAGAGTCAACTGAACTCAAAGTTATAGTTCAAGGAACTATATTTTTTCTAAAATGTATGGTAATTAACCTAATACAAGAGGATGACTGTTTTTGAGGTTTTTCAAAAAATGATACAACTATTTTCAACAAGTTCGCAATAAACAATAGTGACAATAATTGCATTTATATAGCACATTTAAAGCATGCAACATTAGTTCCGTTTTCACTGCAACATCCTAGGACATAAATTATTATTATTGTCCCATATGTTGCAGATGGGTTGAGGAAGAATAAGTGGGACGCCTGACTCTATACGTTCTTATCTAAAATGAGATTTTTTTTTTTTACTGAAGACTTTGCAGCTCACGTTCCTAGTATGTCTTCAAGAAGATGCTCTGAATGGTTGTACTTTATACATGCATTATTCCAAGCTTTTTAAACTTTTTTTCTCTTACCCTCATTCCTTCAAAGCGTGACAAGGCTCTTAGAGGCCTCAAAGCTCTTAAAGTTCTAAGCGATTTAATTGCACCAAGTTCAGAGTAGCCCAAGGCATTAGCTGTTAAGCTAATTAAAGAGACCTACACAGGGAAAAGAGAAAGGAGAGAAGAGAAATTAATTCACTAGATGTGTAAGGACTACTGTGCTTTCCTTCTTCACAGATCTTTTCTGTAGCCTTGTAGAGTTCTTTCCTGTCAGTCACAGTAGAACAATTACATGTCAAAGGGCACCTCATGATAAAATCACATTGGCATCAAGGAAAAATGCCTGGTCCTTATTATAGATGGCTTTGAAGAATTTCCCTAGCAGCATCCCTGGCCCAGCCAGCAAAGTTCAAACATGCTGTCTGATGCAAAGCAATGGAACACGGAGTGCAACTACATGGTCAAATACTGCAGGATTTGTTCTGCATAAAACGGGTGAAATTGAAGCTTTTTAAAAAACTGACTGACTACATGATGCAAAAGCTGAATCATATTGGTTCAGCCACTTTTGCTTTTTTTTCTCTCTGCTGTTGGGAAGCATCTATTTGCTACTTTTTCAAGCTGGAAGGATTCAAACAGACATTTTCCTGTGTGGTTAGTTGCGATAAGTTCTTGTAAAGACAGGGGGAATGTCTGCAGGTAGTGCTTCGATGACATAGGCAGCTGGGGTGTGATATTCAAGACAGGGGGCAAATAGAATTAAAATACAATTAAAATTGCCATCATCAGGACCCACAGTTCTGAAAAAAGCAAAGTACCATGATTTTGGTTTGCTGGCAGAGCGCTACATTTCTGAATAAAGTTCTTATAGAAAAATAAAAAGGGAAAGTACTTCACAGTCTCAGAATACAGAACATCAAAAGTTTGAACGATATTTTTGCAAAAACTGATTAATGTGTTCCTATGGGCTTGAAACTCACCGTCCAGTGAAGATCCTCCATAGGGCGGACATTTTCACTGCCCGTGCAGCTAGGAATCCGTCCCAGAAAAGAGTGGGGAGCCATTTTTTTTACCCAGCGGCCATTTTGAAACCCCCGATCAGCTGGCCGAAAATCGCTGTTTTGCGAGAATCGGTTCCCAAAGCAGGGAACCAATCATCGCAAAGCGAAAAAAACTCATTTACTGTAAAACATTGTAAAGCGATCGCTTTTGCGATCGCAAAAAGTTCATTGTGATGCGATTTCGTCGTTAAACACGGCGCTCGTCTTGCGAGGCACCACTGTACTACAAAATACTGCCCCTGGAAAGCTGAGCTGGGTCCAACCATTTCAGGCACACAGAGATTTCATTATTTCTGAGGGGCTCCTTCAAAGCTTATCAAAGAAACAATTGTTTTGGCAAATTATTATAGGAAGCTTTTTTTTCCTATTCAGCAAGTGAGGCCGACTGGTACTTGGCTTTTGAGTTCTATCATGATCAATGAACCAGTTGATCAGTAACATCACCATCCCACATGAAAATTGTAATGCTTGACAAATGACACCAGTGGAGTTGCAGTTAAGGAACATGTTCTGCTGGCAAGGGCTTCTGGGGGTTGCAGTCAAGGAACTTCTGGGGACCCAAGGTTGGGAACTCCTGCCATAGCTTATCTGGAAGGGACCCAAGGTTGGGAACCACTGCCACAGCTTATCTGGAGCAGAAGTGCTACCTCACCAGTTTGTCTATTCTCTGCTAGCAAAGGATTATTTCCCTTGTCTCCAGTGGCCCCCTAAATTGGGCTTTGACAGAAATGTAGGTTGTACTGTAAGTTATTCTTGATTTCTGTAAATTTGTTCCTTTTGTGAAGGCGATGGGTTAGTAATTTACATCATAATTGTTGCAAAAATCCATGCTCGATAAATGGATAATTAATGTGTTATACTGTAACTCATTTTGATGAAAGAGAGAATACAGTACTTACATCCACAATGAGGAAATCTAGCCAGCACCAGGCATTGGTGAAATACACTTGAAAGCCATAAGCTACCCATTTCAGAAGCATTTCCAGAATGAAGATGTATGTAAAAACCTTGTCCGCATATTCCAGCATGGTCTTGATGGTCTTCCGCTGTTCAATGTATATGTCTTCAAAGGCCTGTGAAGAAAAGTGGTGAGGGTGTTACAGTATGACTTTACTGCTTGAAATCTGTGGAATACAGAAATTGGAGTATTGCCTTTTTCCAGAACAAGGAACGTCAATTTCCCCCTTTCTGAATGGAAAGACTTGGCAGTTCTCCTTTAATTAATATTCTGCTCATCAAATCTAAAATCACTTGAAATTAGAGATGTGTGACCTGTCCAACCTGCTTAGTTAACAGGGAAGCCAGGTGATTGGCTGGGTGGTGCAGGTAGCCAGCCTATCCTGGAGCCTGAAGGAGGAGGAGCTGAAGGACTGGAATGTGAAGAGAAGAAAAGTATAATGGATGAAAAGGGGTGTGTTTGAGCTGTTGGGTTGCAACTGAAGACAAACTGAAGCTTAGATCTGTTCCCCAAGTTCTTGTTACTTCGTAATATAATATCATTTTCCTTTCTTTAACCACTGGGTCTATCTAGTGTGGTTAATGGCTGGGGTTATGACTTTTAATGGAAAGTTATTTTTAAAAGTGACAAGCGTAAGTTGAGTCCAAACACAAACTGGTGGCAGTGAAGTGGGATCCGAAAATCCAGTGGGGATTTTTGGAGATCCAGGAGAGGTATTACAAAGCCAACAACTGCTGAAAAGACTGTATTGGAGGTAAAGTCCACTCCAAGGGCTTCTACAACAGGTGCTACTGCGAAGCCTTTGAATGACAAAATGCAAGACATTTTGAGATGGAGGGAGCATCTTCATAGTGAGAAGAGCCATAGCTCAGCATTACACAACACTGGTGTAAGCAGAAGGTCACAGACTCAATTATTGGCATCTAGAATTAAAAGGATTAAGCAGCATGTAGCAGGGAAGACATAATCTTGGCATCTTGGAGATCTACTATCTGTCTGAGTAGAAGACACTGGGCCACAGTACAGTGGACCCTTGACATACGCACAGCTCGACGTGCATACCTTTCAAGGTACGGAATTCTCCGGCTGCAATATTTCCAATCGACTTGCGCCTGGAAAATCGACCTACAGACCAAATGGGGGGAGGCGGGGAAATTTGGCGCTTTCCCCGTCTCCCCCTTCCAGTCCGTAGGCCGCCGTGCCTCCAAATGCCTTCCAGGGCTTCTCTGTCGCCATAGGACGCATCTCGGAGGCCCCGCCTGCCACCGATCGAGCCTCCGAAGCATGATGGGTGGTGAGGGGGACCTCTGCAGGCCTC